CCTTTTTTTTTTACTTTTTCTCTGATTATCATTTCATGTCTTTGTTTGGATTCCTTTGTTTTTCCCATTATTGTTATTCCTCTGTTTCTTTTTTATTCTTAATATGCTTTTGCTCTTTTATTTTCCTTATTAATTCTTATCACTTTAAGCAGAATATGACCATAATTATTCTCGTTTGTGATAAGGTTGGACAAAAAAAAAAAAAAAAAAGTTCTGGAAAAGCTCCCCAGAATATATTTTTAATGTCCATATTGTTTTAATTAGAGTTCAGTTAATCAAGGATATTTCCATAGAGTCTTGAGTGCATGAAACTAAACTTGCCAACTGTGGATAGATTTTTTTTCTTTTTTTTCTTTTTTCCTTCACCCTCATTCTTCATGTTTTTCTGTCTTTCTTTTTTTTTCTTTCTCATTTCTTTCTCTCACCTTCCCCATCCCTCCCTCTTAGCTTTTCTTATTTCTGTACTTATGAATGTCAATTTGGCTTCAATGATAATGATAATAATGGTTTTATAGGCTTCTTTGTAATGGAAACTCAGAGACCATATGTTTGTAAAGAAAAATTTGTGAGAGAATTTTTACATGGACTATAGGTTTTATTTTATTTTAGTTATTTTATATTTTATTTATTCATTTATTTTATTTATATTTCATTTTGTTTTATTTTCTGCTGCGTCTAAACAATTTTTTTTTTCTTTTCTTTTTTCTTTTTTTTTTTTCTTTTTTCTTTTTTTTTTTGCCAAATATAATTATCATTAAATGCATTAAGCAGATTTCCCATTATTTGTTCAGCATCATTAGAAATGAAATGTGTTTGTATATCAGTTAATCTTAATTAATGTGTAAATCTGTGCATTGATATTGATGAATTTCCCTGGGTGTTTTAAAATCTAATTTCTGTAAAAAAAAGTCTATATTCTGGGAACAGCTGTGAACGAGGAATTGCCTGTCTAGAAAGAAGGGGGAAAAGTCTAGAAGTCATATGAACAGATGTAGATATATTTATACATATTGTAGGTGGAAAAAGAGGGGAGAGGGAGAGAAGGAATAGAAAACAACAAAAGATTCGCACGCAGTTTGATGGCATTCAAGGCATCGTTTGTTTCACACAGCCATATGGTACAACTTTGAACTTTGCCTGCAATTGACAGGACAGCCAAAAAGCAAATATTTTTTGTCTGTGGTATTTCTCTTCCAAGGTGTTAAAGTTGCAACTCTTAGTACTTTCATATACATTAGTAATAGTTTCATATACATTTGCACAATGACTGCACATTGTCATAAAGAAAGAGATCAAACTACTTTCACTGATACGGGAAATATATGCGCAAAGTAAAGTGCCGGAAATGAAGAAAATGGGCAGAGACAAATGACACACTTAGATCAAGTCCAAGGCAATTGGTCGAGTGTCCAGGAGTGAAGTCGTTGAGTTAGGAAGATTATTGGTCCATATAGCATTGTTCGAGGATTCCCAAGAGAGACTGGAGTAATAGGGAGTTAGACTCAGGGAGTGCAGTCTCTTCGTAAATAGTTACTAAGACTTTCGCTTGCGTCGTTTGCGATGAAGACAACAACAGATTCACAGATATTGCACCTTGAATGTTTGGAACAAGATACAACAATTGCAAGGTTGGATAGCTGCGTGAAATTTGAAAATCAACCGATTCATGTTACCAAATTTAATAGCGTGAAACTTTCCAGTCATAAGTCTAGAATGTTTGTCAATTTTTTAATCATGCATATTTCTGGAGCTTGTTCAGTATTCGGTAATATCATCTTTTTAGGGAGGAAGCTCGTTTTCTCAAATGTTTATATTTTGTTATCTCCCTCTCTCCTCTCTCAAGTGCATGTCGATGGTGTCAAGTTGATAGCGAGATAATCACAAAAACAGGATAACAATAGAACTATACTAAAAGTTAGTATAAAGAATTTGGGAGTTTTTTCTTATTTTGTTTATTGTTTTTTTAAGGTCTCCACTTCAAAATTTATTTTAGAATTTTTAAAATCAGGTATTTTGGCCATTTAAATAGTAAATCACTTTTTTCTTTTTTTCTTTTTTTTCTTTTTTTTCTTTTTTATCAGTGTTTCAGGATACTGTTATGTTATTGTTATTGTTGTTGTTGTTATTATTATTTTTTTTTTTTTTATTTTTTTTTTTTTTATAACTATTATTATTATTATTATTTGTGAATGCGCCACTATGACACGTAGGTCAGTTAACCCATTCCTGCCGGGCATGCCATGCCATGCCCACTGTGAGATTACTTGTTAGATTGTTTTCACACATAGATGGCTACACTTGTACTAAATCACCAATGAGCCAGTTACGAGTACCGCCTGCCTCGCCTGTTCACCCTTTTCTTTGATTTACGAAATATTTTACGTTATCTTATTTTGCTGTTACTAAAGTTAAAAAACATTACAAAAATTATAATGTTTAAGATAAAAATAACACCATCGATATTCATGGCACTAGTAAAAAATACATTTTTCCTGCCATT